GAGGCCGGCGCTGCCCGAGCTGCCGGAGCGGCTCCGCGGCCCCGTCCCACCCCCGCCCCTCCCCTCCGCCCCCGGCCAGCCCACCGCCAAACTTTGGGCCCGGGAGACGGCGGAGCCAGCGCGGCTGGACGGGCAGGGGCAGCGGATGTGACATCAGCTCCCCGGGAAGGAGCGGGCGGGGGGCGCCGGGGATGCGGCGGTGGAGGGGCTGGGGCTGGAGCCGGGCTGGGCTGGACTGGGCTGGACTGGGCTGGGCTGGCGGCTCAGGGCAGCGGCGGCCGCGGGCCGGGCAGAGGCGCGGCCGGGCTGCAGGAGCGCGGGGTGCCCCGTGCGAAGGGGCGGCTCGCCGGACCCCCTCACCCGAACTCCGGGTTGTCCCCCCGGCAGTGGCCGGCGGGGCTCGTCCCTCTGTGAGGGCACAGCGTGCGGCCCACACCGCTCTGCGCTGGCTGCGGGCGGGCAGGTGCGGCTCTCGGGAATGGAAAACCTGGCACTGTGGCAGCGGGAAGGGGCGAGGGTGGGCTGAGGGGGGAGCTGCGGGGAGACGGCTTTCCTCAGGGGGATCCCACTCCCTCGCTCCCCCACCGAGAAAGTTAAGTCGGGGCTTGACAGCCCTGGTGAGGGTAAAGCCAACTCTCTGCTCCCCAGCTGGAGCGTGGGCCAGCAAGGGACCATCGTGTCTCCTTGGTTTGGCTAAGATGGGAAAGCCCCTGTAGGTGCAGGCTGGTGGAGGGCATTGGTTGAGGAATCCCTTGAAAGCCTTCCCAAGGACACGTAACATGCAATAAAGTTTCCTTTTCTCTTCGTCACCCAGTACCTTCGCAGTCAGACAACACTGCTTTGCCAGCTGAGGCTCGAGGTGAGCTCCTCTTTGCCTGTGCAACCCAGTATCCCAGTACAGGCTTGGCTTCTTCAGGGACGCACATTCAGCACAGCTGAGTATGGCCCAAGTGAAAATAACAGCACTGTTGTGTTAACACGGGCAAAGTGTGTTAATGTTTCAATTATTTTCCCTTAGAAGACTCAAGCTCAAGATCAATGGGCAGGGTAATCTTATGGCATAGCCAAGATTAATATAAAGGCAATTTTCAGCTTTGCAGGGTAAAAATGCATTAGCTTTACAGTTAGCAATTTTTTGGTCTTAACTAGATTCTCTGGGGTCTAGGTTGTGTGCTTTTCCAGCAGCTAGCACAGAAAGGCCAACACACTAGTGCTTTTTTTTTAGGTGCTATATAATGTTAACAAAGGAAAAAATGAGCTTAAAATATCCTTAAAAAGAAAAACTTGTGTAGGGAAACAACCCCCAAACAAAACAAAACCAAACCCTAGTCTTGAAGAGAGTGTTTTGGTTGAGTGTCTTATTAGGGTAAGTGTGGACAGGGCATGATTTTCTCACTACCTCTGAGTCTACAAGATTGGTTTCTTTTGCCTTCAAGAGCTAAGACCACTGCTGAAAGACAAATGGAGCAGAAACTGTTCTGCTTTCCGGCTATCTGAGAACATTGCATGTCCTTGGCAGAGTGTTCCCAGATCAAAATTGCTGATTTTTCTTATAGTGTTTTATTATATATTTGAATTTCTTCTTGGATTAAAATAACTAGATTTTTTTTGTGAGTGTGTTAACATTTATATTTTATGCTAAGATACCTTAGACATCCCCTCTTGGCCATCAGTATCTTTTACAAAGATACAGTCTTTCATTTCCGTGCAAGGTAGATCTACAGAGTATGTTTCCTTATGACATGGAAAGGAAATTATAGAATTTATCAATGAGCTTCCATTGACATTCCAGAATCAACAATGGAAAGAGAATCCCCTCTGATACAGACTCTATTGAATTAGCTTCTATGAAGAAAATATAAAAGATACAGAATGGAGATTAGTTAATAATTTTTTCTATAGAAAATATGTAAAAGTTCTGTTTTCTGTGAAATAACACTAAACAAATATAAAACCTTCATATATTTGTATGGATTCAATATTAAGTAAAAAAAAGATACCAAAACAATGAAAGCTTCAAGTTCTCCAAGGGACAAAGTGAATGGTGTTTTCAAAAGAAACAATTTCCTATGAAAAAAGAACATAGATTCTAATGCCACAAAGGCAGGATTGATGGTATTTAGATCTTTTCTAGAGCCCCTCAGTGACTAGTTCTCTAACTTTCCCTACCTTTATTTTCTCCACACTTTTCTTCCCTTCTTTTTTCCTGTCTGTCATAGATACATGTGTATGAACCATTTAATTAATCATAGAATGCAAACTTTTTGAGGAGCTTCAGTGATGCTTTGTATTTTCCCACTTCCTGATGGTACTTGGAATATCTGTCTCTGAAATCGGTAAAATATGAAGAGGAGAGTTAAAAATAACACCAGTGATTCCCCAGGCCCCTTAAAACATGAGCCTTCAGATCTCCTGAACTCATCAGATACTTTTATGTGTTACAAATTAATAATTTGTTTGATATATGAAGACGTACCAAAATACATTTCAAAAGGATAGGATAAAATGACCCAATTATTTTCTGTTTGATTTTAACAATCTACTAAGAAGAACACAAAAATATGTTATAGATTTATTCCTCCCCCCTCTAGCAACCTGACAAGTAATATTTTTTTTTTTTTTTTGCCAGAAAAGACTGTCTGAAGAATCACTAGCAATCGGTATCTGAAATAATTGCTTTGTTAAAGTGTATCTGAAAAAATAAAAAAAAATTCAAGTCCTCATGAGAAGATTTATTTCTGCTGTATGCCCTGATGGCAAAGATCTCTTTCTAGCAAAGCTTTCAATCATCCTTAAAACCTATGAAATTCTAGGTGGGTTGCATTTCTTGAGTTCTTTGTATGGAGATGGCTGCGCTCAGGGTGAATACTTGGTTGTGATAGAAAAGAGAAGGGATATCAAAAGCTTTCCTGCAGGCATCAGTGCCAGAGCATTGGCAAAATGGTGGCAACACGCTGAATACAACTTGTCTAGATAGAGAAGGATATTCTCAGTGTGTGGCTGAAGTTACAACTATTTTTTTTCACACCGTATTGCGAGATATATTGCTGGCACTTGGAATAAGACAGGTACTTGTTCACTTGGGTACACAGAAGTTGATAAATGGGATTTAGGTACCAAATTAAGTAAGTTCAAAGGTTTGCAATCTGAGTTTGACAGCTCAAAGATACTGATGGGAGTTACGAGAATATGCATATGCATCTATAGAAGGATAATCTTTATTTATAGGAGGTGACATCTGAAAACTTTTTAATTGTGGTGCTATCAAATATCATATTTTTTTGTAGACAAGAAAACTTTTCATGAAATCAATCTTATACTTACACTTAATATTTCATGGGTGTTGAATTTTCTACTAAGTTAGGAGAGTGGTCCAGATTTGGAATTCTAGGCATTCTGATTATCAGAATGGAAAGTTCAGGGAACTGGAGAGAGAGAAAGACCCTTGCTAACATTAACAGAGCTGAAATGTCCTTGAAGGTGATAAGTGTGTCTTTCACTACAGAAAGATTTTGATGTCTCAGTGAGACTAAAGAGAGAGTAAAAAGATACAACCAAAATTAAGCTGTCAATGATACAGAAGCTAACTTTTATGATATATGTTGTATTTGATTACATTTGTAAAGAACAGGAGAGAAACAAAACACTTGTAGTGTTGTTAAACCAGATGAATAGAAAATGCAGTAAAATACTAATTAATTTAATTTAGCCATTTGAAGGGCGTGTAGGATGTTTAATGAAATAGAGGAATACTGCACATGTGGGACAAAGTTCAGGACTATTATTTATATTTAGTGCACAACATAGCTATAGTATTTTCAGATTTACAGTTCAGTTATATTTATTTTTACTATATAAATATAATTATTTTATTATTAAATAAAAAATAATATCACTATATAAATATAAGTGGGAAAATATAATTAAAGATTACATCAGTGTGAAATGTAGGAATGTCACTTTGTAAAAGTGACACTATCTATAAAGAATGGTTATCTACCAAAGGTGTTCTTCCTAGAAGATTATGGAACTCTTCTCACAAGCTTTCTGTATTTTCCCCTGCCGATATGAACAACTACATTACAACACAAACCCAGCAAAGTAGCCTTTAAGTGTATTTTTGGTTATGTGAGACTTTTATAATTTTAAATATCATAAAACTTAAGGATTAAGATCCTCTTCTGCAAGATTGAAGAGTAAATTTATTCTTGATGGATGGTCTTAAAATTCTTTCTGATCTTAAAATTGCATGATCACAAAGAATAAGTGAAACTTGGAGAATTAAGGTTAAAATATGTTTTATTTCAGAATTCTAGTACAGATAGTAAATTCTAGTCAGTTGTTTGATAGAAATTTGGGTTTTCTAGCAGATTTTTAAAATCAAGAAGGTATGATTTCTCAATACGAATAATGTGATTTTAAAACACTAAAATACTCGGCAATATTTACAGTTGACTATTACCTCTTAAAATACATAATTTGCAGCCTGTCAAGTCACAATTGAAGTCGGGCTAAGAAGCTGATTAAGTCCCCAGGTAAATCTTAGGAATCTGTAGAATGTTTAATATTAAATATTTATTCTAATTTATGTATTTTTCATGTACTTTACAAACACATACTGCAGAAGCAACGAAGAGCAGTATGCTGTGTGATGACAAATGTATGAATTTACTTTAATTCTCTAAACATTTACATGCAGGCAAAACTAGTTTGTGTCTCATAGTAAATATATGAATATTTATTGACCAAAGTGTCATAGTAAAGAGGCTGCTTGCAATATTCCAGTGTAACAACATGATGCTTATTGGAATTGAAAGGACCAGAGTATCCTCAGCTACTGATCACTGGTGAATTCTCAGGGCTCAGCATCTTGCAGGACTGGGTCTCAGAATAATAAAATAATAAGGCATCATTACCATAAGCTCAATTGCAATACCAATCTTTGTCATAATCACTTAACGTCAACAGTATTAGAAAAAAGTTTAGGTCATGATTGTAGATGATGGAGCAAACATTCTGATGGATTTTATGCTCTGTTCTTTTTTAAGGTTTTGAATGTTACCAGCACACCTGATGTTTTTCCCCAAATGAAGAGTCAGTGTATCTCTGTCTTCTGTGCAGAAATTTCTGCTGGAATGGAGAAAGAAAAGTTTGCATAAGAACTTGTCACAAAGACAAATGAACTTAAGAGGTGGGTGTTTTCTGTAATACAGTAGTTAATTGCTTTGATTTTTGGTAAGTTTCAGTTTTTAAAAGAACCTGGCAGTGTGGTGCTATTTGTGGTACTATTGCAATGTTCATGGTTCTGTCTTATATAGCCAAGGGCTCATGACATAAATGCAGGCACTGTTAGGATATTTTTTATAAGTTGACACATATTTGATATTTTAATTCCAGCTGGATGTTAGAATATAACTTACCTGAAAAAGTAATTGTTTAAGATGATGCTTACTGGAATCCTCCAGGTGCTTCTGTAGGATTGCATTTGAATACTGATGTAGATTCCTAGCTGTGAAAGGAGTCTGTCAGAATGCTCTGTCAGATCAGCTCAAGCAGGGAGGCAACTTTTAAAAAGGTAAATGTTAGGAAGAGAAATATTTTAAGAAGGTATTTTGGTTTACTTCATACAGCATTTATTATGTTCCAAAGTGTTTCTAAAAAGTAAATTGAAAGGTCTCTTGACAATTATCAGGTGGTGTCTGCTCTTCTTAATCTCTGAGAAGATGATTCAGGTTATACACTGATTATCATGAGTGACAAGACCTCCAAAGTAGCTCCCTCCAGGCCTCAAAGCAGTACAAGTGTGCTAGGACTTGCACTGGCTGGGCTAAACAGCTCAGCTGCTTCTGCATCCCACATTGTACAGTGTCATTTGTTTTCTGGTTTTTTTTTTTTATTTTCTGTAGGACATCAGCCCCTTTGTAAATTGTAGAGGGAATAACTGGATTAAATCATCCATAATTGTAACAAAGCTGTGCTCTGGAGCAAAATGTCTTGTGTTCCCTCATACTGTGGTTTACGATCCAGTAATTTTGTTGATCTTTTGGAATGCTATTCCTTATTTATAACTAGGGTGTCTAAAAAGTGAATCGTACCTACAATCTGACATTCGGGAGGCATTAAAACTATGAATACCACACATTTTAAGACCTAAGGAAATCCTTTTTTGCTATTAGGACAGTCAAACAGTGTAACAGGTTGCCCAGCCAAGGCAGCACCATCTGCATCATTGGAGGTTTTCTGGACCAAATAACACTCTGAGTAACCAAGTCTGACTTCACAGCTGACCATGCTTTGAGCAGCAGTTTGGACTGGAGACCTTCTGAGGTCTCTTCCAGCTTGAATTGTCCTATTATCCTGTAACAGTGTGAATGGTGGTGATCTGCACAACTGGCTTGTCTCTTTAGCTGTGGGCAGGACTTGAAACAACCCACCTTATCTCTCGATATATCTGAGAAAAAGTAGGTTCTGTATTTCCCATCAGTGTGTATTTTTTGACCAATATGATGTATTATACAGGTTTATGTGTATATATGTATATATTGCTACCTAGACCAATTTGATATAAATTGTAATTACAGGAACGGTAGAGTAGAAATTACTCAGTTTTCCAATCTGATGGGGTTTTATTAAAAATCATAAAGAAAAAAAATTCTGTGGTTTTGGTAGACCTCTCCTTTTTTTCCAGAAGCTAGCTGTAGTCTTTGTATGAATGGTATCAAACCTTATCATAATTAATTTTTCTAAAAAGTCACTTCTCTGTGCTGCTTCCTGACCATTGTTTTGCAGGAACTTCAGCTTATACATTATTAGCACTTTTTTTTTGTCTCAAGCCAGAGGAGACCTCTTTAAATCAGAGTAATAGTGAGGGTTGACAGTGAGATGCATAAAATGTGAACTTCCTTGCTCACATTTGAACTGCATGAGTGTTCATGTAAATCTAGTGATCTTTTTGGATAGAACCAAGCTTCAGCTGTGAGGCAGTGGACTCAAAACCCAAGCTTAAATTAATTCTCCAAGATAGTCTCCTTTTTACTTTTAAACTTGAAGGTGAAAAAAACCACGAGATACTACCCATTCTTGTACAGAATGTGAACAGTCTTTATTTGACTTGTGAATGAGGGGTTTGGTAACATTTTTTTGGAAGGCAGCACAGCTTTTCTTTCAGAGAGAGTAGTACAAATCCCTTGCTGTCATATTCAGCAGATGGCAGCATGCATGTTGACTGGCTGGGTATCTGCTCAAATCGTTTAGCTGCCATACCATATTGACAAGCAGAGTAATTAATTTGTCAGTGTCTTTAAGGTCAATCACAGTGGAAGCTTTCAGTGTGTTAATATGAAAAATCATATTTACCCTGAGGGCACGCTGTCACAGCAGGTAGGAATTAATTGTGGAATTATATAATTTTCTCCCTAGAATACAGCTGTGTTGAAAGAAGGAAAACATGTAAAACCAGTAGAGTACAATTCAGGATTCCAGTGTTTGAAACATTTAAACACAAATTTAACATTTCCACATGTGCATAGCTGAGTGGTACCACGATCAGGGCCTGGGATTAGGCCATGCAAGGTTATGCAGAAAATAAAAAAAAAAGGAAAAAGGACAAGACCAAGCCAATGTTTGTGTGTGATTACTCAATAGCAATACTGATGTCATTTGAATGTGACCAGTTTTGTTTCTAATAGCAGATCAAGTGCAGTGTAGATGACATATTATCAAACTCCTGAATATGAGCAATGAAGGCATATGATAACTGTGTAAAATAAATTGCCATGTCAGGTAGAAAAAAACCCTTGGTGTTTCCAATCTACACAGAATATTGCAAGGGTGGTGATTTTCACTGTAGTGTTCTTATCAGTCTTGCAGAAACAGGAATAAAGGGGTATGGAATACAAAAATCTAGACTGCTGTCTGAATTTTTTCAGTTATGTTGAATTTTGTCCAGGACTCTTAGGAGAGCTCTTATGGGTGAAAAATTCTATAGATTTTTGATTGTTGATGAATATTGGAAATATTATTTTTTAGCTGTTCAAGCAGCATTTCCTCTGTTTGTGTGAGTTTGTAGAAACTGAATTTTAAGGCCTGTTGGTGGTATTTGTGTAGATATGAAGATAAATTGGTATCTCACTGTCTTACATCTATTTAAAAAGGTCAATGAAACATTAGATTCATCTAATGAAAAAGGATCATTTTCATGTGACCTAAAAAAATCAATCACACGGACTACTGTTAGTTTATGAGTGCATTTTACTGGTTAATATCAAGTAGTGTGTACCTCACAAGAAATCTTAAATCTAAAATTTGTTCAGAAAACTGTGTGAAAATTTCCCAGTGAGTAGATATTTTTATCTAGTTACAGATAATTGGCAATAAAGGAACATGCTATTTTTGCTCACTGATTTAATGAAAAAATTATTCACTGCAATTTAAGCACTTTCTGAAGCAGCTTAAGTTGCTGATCCTGGAGAGATTTATATGCATAAACATGGATAAAGTTTGTAGGAATATCAGCAAGTGAAGTTAATAGGAATGTTGCCTCTTTGTATTTCCATTAGTGTGAAGTGGTGGCATTTATTACATTTTAAATGAAATGTGTTTGTAGATCTTTGGAAAAGTAGATCTTTGGAAAAGTAGAATCTTAATTTATTTTTTTTTCTTTTCCCAACTCTCAGAACAAAGTTCTAAACTAACCACTTTTGGTTGAGATTTTTTTTGCGTTAAAAATGAATGCTGAAGACATTTGTAACTATCCTGTCCTTTCCCACTTGGTCACTCTTGGTTCCAGTTTGGCAGAGCAGTGGCTCAAGTAATTTGCCCCTTGATTCCCATCTCTCCTCGTCTAGCAGACAATCTGATGCTCAGGTTGCTCTAGCAGATGCACAGGCCATTCAAATAAAAAGCAGGAGTTTCTTTAGCCTTATTTTTGTGAACAGTGCTGTCAAACAATACAAATATTTTAAGGCTTTATTTTGATATTTCTTTTTTATTCTGAAGTCTTATTATTTAAGTCTTATTTATTCTGATGTCTTACTAAAATATTTGCCAGTTTGGAAAAACATGGGACTGTTTTAGACCTTACACTTCTGTAATGGACAGCAGACTGGAAATTTTATATGGGGATACAAGGATGTGCATAAACTTCAGCTTAGTTTCCAGTAAAGCCAGCAGAGTCTTGAAGAAATCCCATTATGGTAACATTCTGTGCTTCGTATTGTGGAGGCTTCCCTTCTACACCTACCTTTGAAAATTTAACTCCTATAATAGAGGGTATAGTGTTTCTTTTCCTCAGCTATTTGATTTCTGCAGTTAATACAGAGTGTTAGTCAGGTGGAGTTTCTGTAAAAGTCAAGAACAAACTATTATAATATATTTGACAGGATTTAGGGAATACAATGCATGAATCATTATTTTGTACAAGTATATTAGTTTCTTAACTGATTAAAGGAGACTGGAGAGACAGGAAAGCTTTATTCACATAATAATATCTATTTTTCTTTTGTTTGTGTTTAAAGGCAAACATTTGCTTTTTCATGTTTGAACTTGTTACAATGTGGTGTAAAACCACAGCTCAGAATATTAATGAGACAAAGAAAGAAAAATAATTACCTGTAGACTAGGAAGGCTTTCAAGTCTTTTCACAGACAGACTTTAAACATTGGTTTTGGTTAATTCATTCAGCCAAGAAAACCAACAGTTTGGACCACTGTAAGCTTTCAGTTTGATTCCATTGTAGCTTCACTCAGCTGTGCTGAGGTGCTTACAATCAAATTAGAGATTATTTGCACTGTCTAGGGCAATATTACTGAATATTTTGCATGCAAATCCCTAACTGTGGAAATTCTGTTTATCTTATAGAAATGCTCAAAACTGTCCAAATTGCTGTAGTCAGTTTTTGTGCATAGACATTCCGTACTTTAATGCAGTTAGGCAGAATTTCTGAGTGGGCAGAACTGCAAGATGAACCAGGAAGAGCATGATAACAACTTATAAATTTTTGATGGCTTACAAATTCTCTACGTGAATTACTTATTTGGACAGTTACTGAAGTCCTTACCGTGTTAATAAAATATTTTCTTTGGGCATCTGTTGGTTTAATTTAATAACTGCATACTAGAAATCACAGAGAAGGCACACAGTGGCTTCAGACAAACTTCTGACAGGGGTTGAGATGAACCCCTGAATCATTTA